CCTCGTCTATCGCCCGCGCCAGACGCTCGAGTCGCCCGACCTCTTCACCGACGGCCACTACGACCCGGCCATCCTGCATCTCAAGGCGGCCATCCTGCATTCCAAGTGCGTGAGCCACATGTCGAGGCTGCCCATCGACGCCAGCGTGCACGACGTGCTCAGTCCGGACTTTTACAAGCTCGACGGCTGGGTCACGGCGCTGCTGCAGAGCGTGCCGGGCAAGTGGCGCGATCTGGCGTCGTTTGATGCGACGCTCCGTGCGTCGTCCGGGCACGAGGAGATGCCGTATCTGAGCGATGGCGTCAACTACCGGCCGCAAAAGCAGATCAGTCTCATGACGAACCAGCTGGTGCTGGCGCATGCGCTCATGTACGGCTCGTGCATCTCGCTGCACGAGCCCGTGGCGCACCGCATGCCCGACTCGGCGCGCAAGTCGGCGCAGGCGGCACAGAGCATCATCAAGATCCTCAAGACGTTTATTGCGGCGAGGGTGGAGCTGCTCCAGGTGAGCTCGCTCATGACGCTCATGATTGTGCTGGCGGCGCGCTCGGTGACGCGCCAGTACAAGAAGATGCGGCGCGAGGCGGGCAGCACGTATGTGCGGCTGCGCAAGACGCAGCCGGAGCTGGCGCAGCGCGTGGCCGAGGCGGGCTACGCGGCGAGCGGCATGTCGGCTGCATCGCCAGCGTCGAGCAGCTCGCGCGGCGCCACGTACAACGCGCTGGGGATGGGCCTGGACACCTCGTCGTCCGATCTGGCGGGCGAAGACGAGGCGGTGGATAGCAACATCGCCACGTCCGAGATCAACGAGAGTCTCGAGGAGGAGCTCGAGTTTGCGCTCGATGTCGACCCGGCGCTGCGTGCGCAGATCGATCCCGAGGGCCAGCTGGCGTCGCTGCGGGACGATCTCGAACTCATCTTCTGGAGCCTGGTCAAGTACGGTCAGATGTATCCGCTCGGTGTTGGGCAGGCCAAGGTGGTGGCTCAGCTGCTGGGCAAGGACTATTCGAGCGAGCTCGAGCAGGCGGGTCTGTTTAGCCGGTCGGGAGGACCGAGTGTTGCGGGCAGTGCGAGCGATGTTGGCAGCTGGGCCGAGAAGAGTCCGGCGCAGTTTGCGCAGCCGATGCGAGCGCCTGCTGCGCCGCAGGCTGCACCTCAGCCGGTTCCGCAGCAGGGGTATGGAGGCGCAGCGCCTGGGTTTGCGCGTGCGCCCGTGCAGGGTGCGCAGCCGTCGCTCTTCCATCCCACCGAAGGCGGGTATAGGCTCGGAAGCTTTCACCTCGACAGGCCCCAGGTGTCGGACTACTATCCTGCACACGCAGCCCACTTTGCTCCCACTCACAAGTAAGGTTCTATGCATGTTTATGTTTTGTAATGGCATTTTTGGTTTGGAATTTTCTAGATGGATGACCAGAGCACTTGGCGGGGCAGGGGGAAGGAGAGGCAGTACATCTGTTTGTTGGGCGCAACGTCTCGGACGTAGTGGACCTCGAGGCCGGGGGTGTGAATCGCCTCGTCGAGGTCCTGCCATTGTTGGTTGACGATCTGCATGAATGCTTCCTGGGTAGATGCATTTTGGAAGAGGTTGTAGTCGGGATGCGAGGAGACGTATGTTGCCGTTGCTGCGGGGGATTTGCGGAGGGCAGCTAGGGTTTGAGGAGGGGGTGGGATAGGTTTGCAACGCAACCGATGTTCGCTATTGGTTATGCCCAGAGCGGTATTGGCGCGGATGAGGATATCGCGAGCGGGTTGGAAGGGATCCTTGCTAAAGCAGTGGACGTGCACGATGGGCACATCGGTCATCGAGCCATCCCCACTTGCACTTCGCCTTTCCATCTCCGCCTTGACCTCCTCAACGCCAACACTGGTTGCAAGGTGGGTGTAGGCCCCGCGGAAGGCGTCGAGAAACTCGAGTGCGGTAGCGGGCAGGTTCATGACAAAGTGGTCCACCAGTCGACGCGCTTCCCACCGCTCCACATCGGCTAGGCTGGCTACAACAGCACCGTCCACCGCAAGTCGCGACGTAGCTTCCTCGACCTCGCCGAGGCTTTTGGAGGCAGCACGTGCAGCGTGTGCATCACGCAGCTTCTTGGCCCTATCCTTGGCCGCCTTTCGCACCGACTCGCGCAGGCGTTCATCCTCCGCCACGCTATCCTGTGCATCGTAACCCTTCGGTCGGCCACGGAAAGCTCGCTTCCACGTCTCGACCATCGCCCACCGTACGAACTCGCGTCCATCCATACAGGTCGCCACCAACCCCCCATCCGCCCTGCTCTCATCCATGACGACCTTGTTGATCCTGGCGTTCCTTGCGAGGCTTTCGTGACTACTGGGATTGAGGTCGTTCGCCAGCACCCAAGCACCGCGCTTGGCCGCTGGCACCGCAAAAGGTCCTACACCCGCCATGACGTCGGCGAGCACCTGGTTGGGTCGACACCGCTTGATGAGACGCATGTGCTCGGCGTGCAGCCGCGAGTTCCAGTAGACGCTGCGAAAGTCGAACTCGAACGTGCACTCGCTCTCGCTCACGCTCGCCGTGTACTCGGGGGCGCCCGCCAGCAGCTCCATCTTGAAGAAGCGGAACTCGGTATCGATGCTGTCGAGCTTGTTCACCACTGTGCGCAGCGAGCCGGCGTGCTTGGACAGAATCACGTGGCCCACCAGAAAGCGGAATGGCAGATAGATGTCGAGCAGGTTGAGATGCGCAATGTGGCCAACGATCGTGAAGCCGGATGGCACACCTTCTGCCGCTACGATCTCCGTGGGAAGGAGAGCCTCGAGCACCTGGTCGGACGACAGATGGTCGTACCCAAGCTCGAGCGGTATATCCCCCACCAGCTCGAACTTGTGTTTCTCCAACAGCTCCAGGACAGCGGAGGGGGTGGGCGACGAGGAGGGCACGTCGAGAAGGACGATTCGGTGGGCGGGATCGCCGTTCGGATGGGGCTGGACATACCGCACACCGGCAGCGTTGAAGAGGTGTGGAAGCAAGCGGTCGTCCTTGGTCACGAGCGGCAGCTGTCGCCCCGTCAGCCCGATGGCCTGAAGATGCAGCTTGGTGGTGAATTGGGGCTTGAGCTGTTCGAGCAGCTTCTCGGCATCCTGCATCGTCTGCAGCTGCGGCTCATCTCCGCGCAGCCGTGGTACGCTGGTAGGCGCGGACACGGTCATCTTGTTCTGCCGCATCGCCGTGCGTGTTGTGCTCATGGATGCCGACATGCTGCGGCGCGCCAAGGGATGGGTGGTGCCGCTGGGTGCGAAGCGACGAGCGAGGTGGTTGGAGGAGAGCTGGGTGGAGGCGGGAGCAAGGATGGTGCGACGGATGATGGGGAGTAGGCGGCTCCGTGCGAGCATGTAGGATTGCACACGATGCAGGCTTTGTCCGATACGAGACGAGGATCGAGAAGGATGAGGAGGTCGAAAGGCGAAAGGAAAGCAGGTCTTTTTTGCGGCCAACATTTTTGGCCGGAAGAAAAGTTGGCGATTTACGAATTCCGACTTCCGGATTGCACACTCTGCCGCCTCCACAAGCGCTCAACGTTAACGCACAGAGCATTGCATGTTGTACATGGATCCATTCGCTGCCCGAAAGGGCACAGCTCACTCGTCCAGATCGAGGTCGAGTTCGGGCGTCCACAGCACGAGCGTGTTGGAGAACATGTACCTGCTAAACACGAGGTACAAGTACCGGAACCAGACGAGCTGCGACTGGTGCTTGAGCATGGCGTGCACGGCGTTGATGTACTGGGCGGGACTTGCAAGCGAGTGGATCTCGGTCGCGGGTGTGTAGCGTGCGCTGGAATGTGTGGGAAGCTTGTTGCCCGAGGGAGCGACGGGCGGGTGGCCCGGGTAGGTGATGGTTTCCCAAACGGCAAAGGGGACCGAGTTGTACTTTTCCCACACCTCGAGCGAGGGCAGCACGTACAGCGGCAGGTTGCGCTGGACGGCCAGGTCGCGCGTGCCATTGTACGCCGCGATGTGGTTGAGGTGACCGGACACGCCGCGTTTGTCGAATGTAATCAGCGCGTCGACGGGACGGGTGCGCGCGAGCGAGTCGACGTGCTGAGCGACCACGGCTGCGACGTGATCATTGGGCCAAGTGGCGTCCATCGAGTCCTGGAGGCGTGCGTCGTCGAGGTAGTTGACTCTCGCAGCAGGCAGACCGAGCACGCTGTAGCTCGCAAAGAGCTCTTCGGCGCGCTGGCTGCCGAGGCCCTGGGCGTCGCCGGTGGACAGGCAGAGTGCCGAGACGACGCTTCCTGCCGCGGTCAGCGCCTGGATGGCTGGAGCGAAGAACATGGCTTCGTCGTCGGGATGCGCAGTAACGAGCAGCGCCGACGAGGGCAGCACGCGCGTCGTGTCGTCGGAAGTGAAGCTCTTGTCGCTCATCTGGTAGCGCAGGCCTGCGATCATGAACTGGACCAACACGGAGCCGACGAGGAGCACGAGAAAGAATTGCGGGCGCGGGATGGCCGTGCGCACGGCATGGATGGGGTTGAACGCCGCGTCGGCCATGATTGCGGATGGATCCAAAGGGGGCAAGGCTGCGTGGGAGACGATGGTGGCAGGGACAGGTGCGGAAACGGAAGGTGCGCGGAGGAGGACCCTGGAAGGATTCGCTCATGCAGCTTTTCGAAAACGTGCGCTCGGGGGTTGGATTTTCGGGAGAATCTCCAAAGATGTTTCGGTCTAACAAATTGAGGAGTTTCCCTTTATGGGGCTTGGTCTTGTGGTCTGCGGTTGGGCCGAAGGGAGAGTGGAAAGCCGAATCTCTCGGTGCGAGGAGCGCTTGCAAAAAAGACGCCGAGAGGGAAGCTGCAGCCCGAGGCAGCGATAGCTCGCTTGGGCGGTTTGGCGATTCTGTTTGTTCGCTAGAAGGGCTCCTGACGAGCGAGAGTCGAGGCCAAACCGAGCGTCTGACTGCACGCAACTAGCACGCGCGATCCGAAGCAGCAGTCTTTTGCATGAACAGAATTTCGACTGCGCCGCACAGCGCACTAGCAGCCAAGCACGGCCCCCTCCGACGCTGAGGCGATGGCATCAATCAGCTGGATCGGAAGCCTGCCGATGCTGGCACCAACGCACACAGTCGAAGGTGAGCAAGGATGCCGGGAGAGTGTGGATTTAGCAGAGCGGCTCCCGTCCGGGATGGGATCGAGCGAGCGAGGCAGGCGAGGCGGGCGAGGCGGGCAGGCGGGCACTTGCAGCAGCTGTCAATGTGGCAAGTGGCGGGCTCGCTTAGGCAGCGGGTGCATGTGAAGTGTGTGTTTCAGCCGACTTTTTCCCCCCTCTTCCCCGCCCCCTCTCCGTCGCCTTCGAGGCGTCTGGCCACTGTGGAAAAGAAGTCCAGAACCCATGAAGAGGCAAGCTGTGGAACCGCAAAGCTCGTTGCTCTTCATGCACGTCGAGCTCCCCGTTCCATCGCTCCTCCCGCAGCCTGAGACACGCTCACAGGCCAGTCCACATCCAGTAATAATGAATCGTATGCGTTCCATCCAGCGGCGTACCGCCGTGCCCACTTTTAGACTCGTTCGAGAGTGTGCATGATGCCTCTCCTATGAGAACGTCCGCAGACCGGCGCCGGCAAAATTCAACATTCACGGCTCGAACCTCGTCAGTTGCAATGGCTTTCGGCTTCGAGACCCTCGTCGTTGTCCGCGTCGCTGCTGCACGAGAGGACTCCGACTCACCAGATGCCCTCGGATGATGCTGCTGCTGCTGAAATCGAAACAGGGAAGAGTCTCGATAGCCGAAGCCCTCCCCGTCCCGATGGTTCCGCTGCTGCTCCGTCTATCTCGCCATCTCTCACGCTCCTGCCGACGCTCCTGCCCACCTCTCTGCCGTCCTGGGCGTCGCAACGCTCCACCTCTGCTCAGCCACGCAGCAATAAAACTGCCTTGTTCGTGTCCACCCCCGCGCGCCACCCCCTTCCCTCTTGCACTCCATCGCAACCCCCATCCCACGACAACCCTCCGGCGGTGCACCCGCCCCAGCGTCACCTCATCTCTCCGCTGCTTGGCAACCTCCGAACTCCATTAAACAGCGCGAGGAACGGCTCCGCAACCCTCTTGGCTCGGAAGAACAAAAGCAAAACCTTCTTTCCTTCTGCACAATAAAAAGGCCCGAGCTCGTCTTCCACAGTTTCTCATTGGGCTCGAGCCACAACTCGGCCTCATATCGCGCAGCGGTACCACCGTCAGTTCTTCTTAAGAACGCGACTTGGCATCCTCAACGGCCCCGGCTCGCACCAACCTTTCGCCAACTACGCTAGAAGCGCGGCTGCAAAGCCCCGTACCCACAAACAAACGGATACATCCTCTTTCCACTCGCAAGGCAACATGTCCGAGCTCAACACCGCTCCCCTCGCAGGCGCCGCCACCGAGGCAGCTGGTGCAAGTGTCGCGCCCGCAGAGATCGTGACCGCACGCAAGATCTCGCGTGGAACCGCGCATGCGGCTCCCGTCAGGCACTTTCGCTCCAACTCCAAGTCCAACGCCTCCCAGCACACCGCGGTCGAAGAGGTGGGTGCAGGCACGCTCACCGACTCGCCGCGCGTGCTGCCCTCGCCCG